TTAAAGCCGCTGTGAGAGCTTTAAGTAACACCACGGCCTCCTTCTGATCCTCCTTCCCCTCGCCTTCTAAGGTATGAGCCAACCAACGCTCCACTGCTGCCGCCACCTGCTGGGTTGATGCCGTTTCTACAAGTGTGTCAGCCTCCTGGCTGGCGTCGAATCGCTCCACCATCTCTTTCATGGGCTCGTTGACAGCAGAGTTGGAGTTGGTCGGGCAGGTGCCGCTGCTTTGGTGGATGTGGAGGGAAAAGCGGTGGATAAAGGCCTGTGCGCAGACATGGCAGCGGAAGGGGCGTTCTCGGCAGCTGTTGAGGCGGCGGTGCAGTTTAAGATGGATGTATTGGGTGAATTTGGTGCTGCACAGCTTGCACTGGTAGGGTTTCTCTCCAGAGTGAAGGCGTTGGTGAGTCTTGAGGTTGCTGGTGCTGCTGAAGCGTTTGTGACACACCTGGAAAGAAAAGCTAAAGTTCAAGGCTACTTTAAAAACTTTTCACCTGAGCATGACTCATGAACACTCTGTGATTGTGTGTTGGATAATTCAGCAGTGTGATGTCACCAAGCTATTTACAGTTGGGTTTTGCCAATCCAGTTCTCCAGTACATTTACATAACAGGAGATTTATTCCAGTTTCAGTCAAAGTCCTGTTTTTGTCTTACAAAACCCTTCACACCCAAAGAGTCATTTTAACAGACAAAAGCTGTTTAATGACAAAGGGGGCAGTGGCTCAATGAAAGTCAGGTTCTGGATTAAACAAAAAGTGTCTGAGTCAGAAAGTATTTGCACCTTGTGTGCGTATGTCTGTTTCTGGTTTCAAGTCAACAACAAGTGTGACCTTTAAACAGCTGAACAGGAAAAATGGAAATAGATCTACCTGACATTCATGTGGCTTCTCGCCAGTGTGCACCAGGTGATGTTTCTGGAGGTGAGCCAGCTGAGTGAAACTCTTTTTACACACATCACACTGGAATGGTCGCTCACCACTGTGCACTCGCAGATGGACCTGCAATAGGAGGAAATTTTACATGAGTGTTGTTGTAAAAAGTGAGCTTTAAAGGTCAAGGGAATTGTTCCTCAGTCATAAAACCTATTTTTGACGGATATGTTTACATAGCAATAAAAATGAACGTATTATATAACTTATATCGCAGTTGTAGTTACCTTGAGATTAGACAGCTGTCCAAAGGTCTTCGAGCAGATGTTACATTCATACTTAATCTTTCCATTCTGCTTCTTCAGTGGGTAAGGGAGGGCTTTGTGGCCTGGTCCGTTCCTTGACGCAATTAGGCTGTTTTTGGTTCTAGTCAAGCTCAGGTTCATGGCCTCCTCGCAGCCAGATTGAGGCTGCTCAGGGGACAAATGCTGGCTGTTGGATTTAGGAACCGGAGAAAGCTCTGGTGTGGCTGGAGCTCCTCGTGGAGGCGACACATTGGGTGTCAGCTCTTTCAGGCCTCCATGAAGTGATGGGGGGTAAGGTAGGGACACGGGGACGAGATTCTGCGCGCCAATTGATGGGTACGGAAGTCCGTCTGTTCCCATGTAGCCGCCATATTGTGGCAACCCTCTTGAGGGCAGCATTTCGGGAAAAGGAGGGGAGTAGGACGGAAGCAGGTGTCTTGGATAGTGTGATGCATAGGGCTGAAGAATCTGGTAATGAGGGAGGATGGTTCTGGGGGCTGAGTGCTGGTAAATAGGGTAGGAGGACACCAGGCCCTCCCTGTGTCCATAGAGGCCGTGGAGATGGAGTGGCAAATTTCGGTTTGATGAGGAGATGACAGGGAGGCGCTCTGGTATATACGCGTGAGTCATAGCAAGACGTGGTTCTCTGTGTTTAGTCTGAGAGGAGTCAACGATTTCCGGCTCCTGTAGAGCTCCGTGCCATCTCGCTTCTTTTTCAACCTTTTTACTGAAGTCCACGATTTGCTCCTCAGGTGTGTCAGGAGGCGTGTCTCTCTCCAACATCTCCACGTCAATTTTCTCCTCCTCATCCTTCTCCTCCTTCACCTCCTCTTTTGTGCTTTCTTTGAGCCACATCCGCTGAGGTAGATTTTTGATGTACTCTGTTTCTTTTTCTTCATCAGCATAGAGGGGCTCTGCAGGAAAATGAAAAATCTTTAGTATCAACCACACACACACACACACAGTCATCCGCCTCCAGAGAAGCACTCCCTCTTATGGTAAATGATAGTAGTTTCAGTTTTGTAATGACACATGAATAATGAGAGTCGCTCTATATTAGTCAACCACTGTGAATGAGTGAATTACATGTGGGAGAAAGAGCCTGTGGTTAAGAGTGTGGGAGTCCATGTATCGAATCATGCCTGAGCTGCAGCGCAGCAACTTTTTAGTTTCGATACATGAAACCTTCAGTACTCGTGAGATGTTCTTTTTACCCATTGACCACAAGTTCATGTGAAACCTGTCTTCCTTTTTGTCTCTTTCCTTTCTTTCTCTTTTTGAAAAACCCTCTTGTGGCCTTCAAGTCCAGTAAAAACTGAGTCAACACCCAGAGGTTTCAGTTGTTCAATACCCCTGTTCAACCACAAGGGAGCTTCAACTCTAAATTTAATTAAAAGGTGGCCACAAAGGTAGAAAGAATAAATAACAAATGGGGAAATCTAAGAGCTTTAAGTCTGGGAAATTAAAAAAATATATATATATATATATATAAATATGGTGAGCTTAAAAAAATTACAAAACAAAGCAGCTAATGGCCATTTATTCAACAAAGCTTTTTTGTTTGAAGCAGAAAGAAGAAATGAAGAAAACAAAAAAGTAAAATGACTAAAGGTTAGCTTATAAAATAATAAATAAATGTGTTCAAAAAATAAGTACATTTTGCCAAAACATAAGAAGAATTTAAATAATAAATAAATGTGTTCAAAAAATTAAAGTTCAAAGAATTAAAAAAAAAGTTTAAATCAAAAGGGAGGTAACAATAAAATGAAATTAGATAAGAATAAGATTTAGAAAGAGATTAAGACTGAGGGAAAGATTTGTTAACAGTTTGACGTCATAAGATTTTTTTTTATCATGTAAAATCTATTTTAAACTGTTAGTAACTGCATCCAAAATCTGAGTCTGAGTCATTTTGCAGAAACTGGTTTGAGGCGTTACAGTAAGGATGATGAATTTAAAGCCCTGCCTCCATAAACTGAATTGAACTGATTTTCCATCCTAACATAATTATGCTGTGGGTCAGAACACCAGACCTGATGACAAACGCTGAGTACTCGGACAGTGACATAAAGGCAGGTAGATCTTTAAGCTGAAACTCAGGATGATGATACCTTGTCTCATTAGTCACCGTAGATCAGTGTCAACGTGCATCCAGTTGACGTGAATCACCAGACTTTGTGGCAGCAGAGAGTCATGCGGGGATGATGAGGATATGATTTCCCGGTCTTTAATAGCTGAGGACAACGTGACTCAGACAAGGACTTTGAATCCCTGTTTGACTGCGTAACCTTTACATTGTTGTCATCTTTCACTTCCCACTTTACGTTTGCCTTGCCCAAGCAGGTAAAAAATGTAACGACAGATGCCATGAAATCCAAATGTCTCTGATTTTAATCACTGAAACACATTATGACAAATCTAAAATCTGGCGCCTACAACAACTTTTATCATCATACCTTTGTCTCGTGTTGAGCTGAGAAATTTTTAACTTTTTAACCATAAAAACAAACTTCTTCTCATTCTCCAAATTGCCTCAGAGGGAAAATATCTGCAGATTTTTTTAATATATAAAGATCACCATTGTCTTACATCTCAACTTTCCAATCCTGGGAAAACCTTCTCTACATCTTCCCCAACAAAGCCTACCAATCTGCTGAATCCTACAACAATGTAGGATCTATGGAATAATCTCCTTGAAAACGCCCAAAATACAGACTTTTTTTTGTGTGTGTATTGTGAAAGATGACGGTAGGTTTTCCACCTGCTGTGGTTTGGCCTGTTCTTTTGCTGATAATACCGTCATTTCCTGGCAGTGATTTTTGTGCTTTGTGTTCCGTCAAAGCTGAGATCTGAGTCTGTGAGATCTTTTGATTTGTGAGTGTGTTTGAAGAGGAGACACGGAACAAAGGAGTGTTCTTCCCCCACATCAAGAAAGAAGATACCAGTGTTTTCACACTCAGCATGGTTAGTGGTGGTTGTACAGTAAATCTGTGCAGCTGTTCTACTTTTAACTATTCCCCATACATATGATTTGTTTTGCGGTCTAATCAAACAGGTCAGCGTAAAATGATCAAAAAACTCCTGAAATGAGTTCCTAGAACCACTAACAAGACTGAGTTCAGTATAATTATACAGTATTCAGTAAGTGGAAAGAGATGATTTAATCAAATCAGACAAATTTTGAGATTTACCATAAGGTTGTAGTCCATGTGTGGACAAGTGAAGAGAGGAAAAGAACACGGTGGTCCCTGTAAAGATCTTAAAGATCTTTGGTAAAAATGCCAGGAGTTAACAGGAGACCAGAATCAGTAGCTGAAAATGAAACTCCAAACTACTGAAGTCCGTTAAGTGGCAGAAGAAAACAAAACAGACTAATTTTGAATGTTCTGATTGGTAGGTAAATAACATAACCTCTGTGAACAAAGCTGCTTATTTCAGAAATACTCCTTGAAAAGTGTGACTTTTTTGTATGAAACTCTTTGTGAATACTCAGGAAGGCGCCCACTCACCATGTTTGACGTCCTCCTGTTGCCTGCAGAGTCTCTGGGCAAACTCCGGGCTGTACCACACCAGCAGCTCTTGTTTGGTCTCCACCGGTCTGACTGTGTAGAAGTAGATGTCCCGGCCATTCTGGCACGCCACCATGTTCTGCTCCGACGTGGAACGGGCCGGGTTCACGTACCGCATCCAGTTGCTCTTCTGGACGTTGTAGCCATCAATGAAGTGATGAAGCTGACCACCACTGTAGATCTGGGTAGGAATAAAACACATTTCCATCATAATTAGTGACATTTGAGAGTATAAATTAATTGTGCTCATTCATTTTATTTAATATTTGCCCGCTTTCACAAGAATTAAGATTTTGATCCGTAATTCACCTCAGCCATGTATACTGAAACGCGCAGTATAATCTGTCCTTGCTCTGCGTTCTACTGCTCAACTCTGTGTCATCAAAGTTCAACCCTTGAATGTTTTTTGTGTGTGTATTGTGAAAGATGACGGTAGGTTTTCCACCTGCTGTGGTTTGGCCTGTTCTTTTGCTGATAATACCGTCATTTCCTGGCAGTGATTTTTGTGCTTTGTGTTCCGTCAAAGCTGAGATCTGAGTCTGTGAGATCTTTTGATTTGTGAGTGTGTTTGAAGAGGAGACACGGAACAAAGGAGTGTTCTTCCCCCACATCAAGAAAGAAGATACCAGTGTTTTCACACTCAGCATGGTTAGTGGTGGTTGTACAGTAAATCTGTGCAGCTGTTCTACTTTTAACTATTCCCCATACATATGATTTGTTTTGCGGTCTAATCAAACAGGTCAGCGTAAAATGATCAAAAAACTCCTGAAATGAGTTCCTAGAACCACTAACAAGACTGAGTTCAGTATAATTATACAGTATTCAGTAAGTGGAAAGAGATGATTTAATCAAATCAGACAAATTTTGAGATTTACCATAAGGTTGTAGTCCATGTGTGGACAAGTGAAGAGAGGAAAAGAACACGGTGGTCCCTGTAAAGATCTTAAAGATCTTTGGTAAAAATGCCAGGAGTTAACAGGAGACCAGAATCAGTCGCTGAAAATGAAACTCCAAACTACTGAAGTCCGTTAAGTGGCAGAAGAAAACAAAACAGACTAATTTTGAATGTTCTGATTGGTAGGTAAATAACATAACCTCTGTGAACAAAGCTGCTTATTTCAGAAATACTCCTTGAAAAGTGTGACTTTTTTGTATGAAACTCTTTGTGAATACTCAGGAAGGCGCCCACTCACCATGTTTGACGTCCTCCTGTTGCCTGCAGAGTCTCTGGGCAAACTCCGGGCTGTACCACACCAGCAGCTCTTGTTTGGTCTCCACCGGTCTGACTGTGTAGAAGTAGATGTCCCGGCCATTCTGGCACGCCACCATGTTCTGCTCCGACGTGGAACGGGCCGGGTTCACGTACCGCATCCAGTTGCTCTTCTGGACGTTGTAGCCATCAATGAAGTGATGAAGCTGACCACCACTGTAGATCTGGGTAGGAATAAAACACATTTCCATCATAATTAGTGACATTTGAGAGTATAAATTAATTGTGCTCATTCATTTTATTTAATATTTGCCCGCTTTCACAAGAATTAAGATTTTGATCCGTAATTCACCTCAGCCATGTATACTGAAACGCGCAGTATAATCTGTCCTTGCTCTGCGTTCTACTGCTCAACTCTGTGTCATCAAAGTTCAACCCTTGAATGTTGGTGTGTCTCTGCGTCTGTGCGTGTGTGTTGGTGTTTATGTGCGACAGCGAGGAGGCGTGGAGGTAGACACGCCCACGTAACCACAGTCTTTGCCTTTCTCACCCTCCCTGTGTTTTTTTTTTGTTTTTTTTACTCTCATTTTCTCTCTCTATGCTTTTTACAAATCCTGTCATGCTGCTGACAATGTCACTCCAAAAAAGGACCTACCTCGTACTGTTGAGTGTTAAAAAAAGGAAAGCAAAGAAAAAGGATTTTAATCATTAAAAGTCTGATTCATAGTTTATGGCAGACGACCAAGTTCCTGCACGACTGCCAGTTTTTTTTGTGTGTCACAAGTTTGATAATAAGTTTGAAGATAATCCCTCCCGGGGAATGACTTGACTTTCGCTATTGCAGCAGAAACAAAGCCTTACCGCAGGTTTACAGGAAAGTAAACCCAGAAGTGGGGGGATGTTGGGGGGGGGAGGTGGAATTAACATCAGGGAATTGACTCAGCGAAAATCAAAAGTAAAAAAAAAAAAAAAAAAAAGATGGGGGGGGGAAAGGGAAACAAATAATAAATAAATTATTAATAAAGGCCAGGAAGGCTGAGTGTGTGTTGAACAATAGTCCTTTTTCCTGTTTGCCAGTAAACTACACACACACACTCTGACGAATGTGATAGCGAATCCATTGTTACGCTGCTCCCAGTATGTTAGCAACTTCCTCTAAAATTTTCAGCAAAACCACTAAATGCGTTTGTGTTTCCTCACTGACGCAGGGACAATGTGAAACTTCTGCAGCTGAGCAACCAGTGTGATTTTCCTTTAAATAAATATAAGAATCACTTTCGGCTTGTCCCTCTGTCGGGGGGTTGGGGGTGGAGGAGAGTCTGCATTGTTAGGTTTTAAACCGGATGCCCTTCCTGACACAATTTAACTTGATCTTGTGTTAACAACTCATGCCTGTGAATCACTCTGACACACATTTACTTTTCCCTTTAAATTAAATAAACAGGAAAATGGAAGGAAATGACACCACAAAAGTGAAGCTGGGTGAATGTTCTTCCTTACCCTCCAAAAGTATTTCCTGTTGGCCTGTTTGGGAACGTTGTCTTTGGTGTAGATGTCTCCTTGTAGGGGGCCGAAGCGTGTTCCCTGAGGGATGTACTCTTTGCTAAACACACCTGTTACCTGCAAAACAGGTTAAAAAAAGGCAATGTATTAAAATGTTATTTACTTATTTTTTTTATTTGGCTAAAAAGACTAAATTTAGAATTACTCATACGTTTGCTAAATGCTAACACAGAAAAACGTATGTAAATCACTGGCAAAACAACTCAGATCTTGGCACTAAAAGCCCGAGAGCCCGTCTTTGGCGACACCTATTCCTATGTTCGGCCATTCTTTAAGTCCAACACCTTGTTGGCTTCAGCTGGGCATGTTGACCCAGTCATAACCCCACTAAGGTGACCCACATTCTATACTAATGACTTAACACTAATAAACGGAATTACACTTTCTCCTGCTTACTCTGCTGATCTCTGACCTACTGTCCTGATTATACAGTAAACACACACACACACACGTAGGGTATTTTGTATCGGCCATTTAGCTAACATAGGGGTTTGACTCTAATGTTTTCACACACACACAGTTTCCACATCTTTGGCACAACACAGCCCCGCGTTCCAGAGAACTTTGTCGTTACGCCTGTAATTCTCGAACATTTCCGTATATCAACTGGGTAGAATTACAGTTATTTCTAGGTTTGGTTTTATACCCACTCTGAAATAACATCTCCTGCTATGCTACGCAACTATTTTTCAAAAGAAAGTGTAAACTTGAGGGTGTGTGTGTGTGTGTGAGTGTGTGTGCGTGTGGAGTGTCTTGGGCAGTCACCCGGTGTCACTGAGGTGGATATTCAGGATGAGATGATCAACCAGTGTGACAGGGTCATTGTTTTTCTTCACTGTTGTATGACTAACGAACGGCTGCCGCCGTTGCTGTTGCTGCTACTTTAACCGCTCCATCCGGCCAGGTTGGATGAAGAGAGGGGGTCAGGGCTTTGCACACTCCCACATTTTTCCTCCAACCTCATGGAACATGTCCGTGCTTTTCCACTCATTGGCAGTTTTGTAAAACTAAGCCTAATTTTGTTCTTCTTGCCTAATTCAGCCCAATTTTTGTAGTCATCTGGAACAGCAGTTCAGTATGCAATATCACTGATCGCCAGCAGGGCTTTACGGCAAAAGCTAGCATGTTTTAAAATGATTTAGGAGCTCTTTTTTTTTTAGAAATGTTTGGTCACAATTTCAATTTTAAGCTGTTTTTAGAATTGTAGTTTCACATGCAATACAGCTTACTGCCAGCAAGGGTTTTTATCCCAAAACCCAGCTCCTGCAACTGACTGCCTATAAAAGAGTTATACCCTTTTTGAAAAATATTCGTAAAAATGGCCACCAGATATTACAGTTATTGTAGCGAGAGCCGCAGTACCACTTCTGACCAACAGATGCTGTATCTCTTTTTTTCCTTGATTCATAAACATCAGGTTTCAACACCAGCATTTTAAATGTGAAGTGTAAGTTTGGGCACGTTTTGAACTTGTTCAATTATCAGTTTCCATGTTGCCCTCGAGTCGAATAATGTGGTTTTCATGTCGGCCTTACATGGAAACGACACATGACGTGGTCGAAAATACAGTTGGCAGTCAACATAGTTGTGGAGTAAATGAATCATCCTGGTTTTACTCAAATATTCTGTACCACCCACATCACAGCTTTGACCCCTCCTCTATATAACAAGCCTTGGTTATACGTTAGCACCCCTCCATCTGCCACGTGCCCCCGAAACCCCCCAAAATATATTTTGTTATCTTTTCAACTACACTTCAGTTACGTCTTACTGAATTTCTTGTTGTATATATTAGGCTATTCAGTGACTCCCAGGTATCTTAATTATCCTAATTTATTTTTTTGTTAAATTCAGTTGTAAAATTGTGTTAGCTGCTATTTTAACACTGCATGTCTTTGTCTCTGTTGACTAAGTTGTAGCTGTGTTGCAGTTGTTTTTGATAACCTAATATTATAGTCTAATATTTACCTTTTTATAAATTGACATTTATTGTCTTTTGTCTATATTGGCTAATATTGAGTCACTTTTAGCTACACATGTCAGCTTGATAATGTATGGTTGTGTTTAATGCCCATTCTGGAGCATATGAAAATTCCCGTCACTCCTGACTCTACTGCTGACACATCATGCTCAGGTGACTTCCAGACTCTAACTATTCTACAACATTCACACAGTACCAGCCGCTGTGTTTGAGGGGGGAAAACGTTCCTAGTATGAATAGCTATCAAGTCAAGAAGGAAGATTCACATGACGCTGTATCTTCAGGAAGGGAAATCCTCCAATGGCCAATTTACTGGCAAACCTGTGAGTGTGTGCTGTCAGGTTTCATTTTCCTACTGCTGATTTTGGACCTTCTGACCTTTAACAGGACAAAATTCCAAACACCAGACAGCCTCAGTATCTGCCTATAGACAAAAGTGTCTGTTAGGTTTTTGTACAACATTGTGGCTGGTAATCAGACACGTGTGAGCGGCTGAAAAACGCCCAGGTTGTAGATACCATAAATGTCATACTTTGCTTATCGTGCATCAGTAAAAGGCTGCACGAGAGTGAAGGAAGAAAGAAAAAAAAAAAGAGAGTGTGAAAACTAAAGAGGAAGGACGACAACAGAGCAGTGTTGCAGGGGAGAAAGAGGAAGAGAACGATGCAGGGTTGACCACAGACGTCAGCAATGAAGAAGTGTCAAAAATTCAAGAAACTCTTATGTCACCGTAGGCATATGTCATGTTGAGGCATGAAAGAGATCCTTAACAGTCAGTGACATGTCCATGCTTATTTTTATTGCTCTGGAAGCCAAACAGCTGACTGACTGAGGGAGTTACTGATGCAGGAATATCTGCTTATGCTCTAAATGATCTGAGTGGAAAAGGGCGTAGGAGGTAAAGGGCAAAGTTAAATGAGGTGTGCATGAAACAAATAGACATAGGTGAAGTCATGATGCAATTAGATCACCCAGAAGATGCCGAGAACTAGCTACACACCATAGAATTATATGATTTGTCCCGAAAGAGACAATGACAGAGGGAATGGAGAGTGATTTGACACAAAGAACACCGTCCCCACTGTGAAACACATGAGGATTTAAAAGCTCCACTAATTCTAAATTACAAATGTCTTTTTTTTTTTGCCTCTCTCCATTCCTCCACGGTCTCAATAACGGAGATTGTACAAAGAGTTTTCTCCTCCCACGGTCTCAATAACGGAGATTGTACACAGAGTTTTCTCCAGGTGGTCAATGTGATTGTTTTTAATGCCCTGTGCAAATCCCAGACCTAAAGCCAGTAGAAAAGCTATGGATAGAAATGAAGGAGGGATCCATGGTGAAAGATTATTAATATGAGTTTAAATATGCCAAGAAAGAATGAGCTGTAATTTTCTGTTCTTCAAAATTATTTATATTGACTTATATTTAGTGTCAGCGAGGCGAACCATGGTGACTGTAGTGTTTTTGGGGGGATTTTTTGTTTGTTTCTTCTTCATATAAAGTAGGTTGTTGTGGTTTCCCAAAAAATAAAGCTAGTATGTTCTGGAATTAACTTAGATGTAAAAAAAATTTTAAAAAGTCTCTTATGGGGCAAAAAATTTTGGTAAGACCCCAAACTGTACTTTGCCTCATCTACCCTGTGCACATGTGGCTCAGTGTGTGAAGATCTTATCAGTCAGCAGATCTTTTGTTCCCCTTAACCCCGTACAGATGGTCCCAACAGAAAATCATGCAACGTAAAACTGTTGGATATTTTCTTGGAGAAATACTCTCCACAAATGGTGTATATATTGTAGGAAATCAATAAGTCTTACTTCATTATCTTTGTTGTATTCAAACGTGAGGTTACGAGGTATGGACGTCATAGCTTTGGGCAGGCTGAACACAGGGTCCGACACCTGGTCCGGTACTATGTAGGTGCAGTTGAGGGCGAAGTCCAACTCCCTCCACCTGCTCATGTCTCCTGGTGCGGGAATATCCAGCTTCATCTCAACAATACAGCTGATGTTTGTTTTTTTAACTCAAGGCGTTCAATTTGGTCTGAGTTTGGTCTCTGGAAGTTTAAAGCTCAAGACCTGAAGAGGGAGAGAAGATGGAAAAAAAACCCTAGTATTTTAGTTAAATATAGATTCACCAAAAACCAAAAATACAACATAACTTAACCTTTTGCACCTTGGCGTTGTTGCCTGAAAATATGTGATGTTACCTGTTGGCAAAAAATCACGAGCCAAATAGACACTCCTATTCATGATGAGCCAAATTTCATTGGCTTGGCCTTTATCCCATTGTTGGCAACAAAAATGTCTGTGAAATTTATATATATATATATATAATGAAACTCTACCGTACTCTCAGGTGATCATTTAATTGAAAACATATTTTGGACAAAATAATTTAATCTAGTTCCCAATTGGCCAGATTTAACTCAAGACGAAAAAGTCAGTTGTGTTTGTCAATAACATAGTAAAAAAAAAAAAAAAGCTCAGACTTACTTTCACACATTCATCCAAACTCTGTATCTTCATTTCTTTGGTTATGGCGTCTCTTAAATGTTCTTGTTTTCATCTTCTCCTTCCTCTCCTGGTGGTTTCTTCTTCTTCTCTCTTAGATCCACTCTGGTCGCCGCCACTCAGAGAAACTCGTGAGATTACAGATTGCACCAAGCTTTTTTAGCTCAAGCCCCTGACAAATCACAGCCCGGGTCCAGTCTGACACACAAAACCGGCTTGGGTGACAACAACACGAGTGACGTTGTGCACTTGACCAGCCTGCGCTGTTGTTGTGGTGGTTATTATAGTCCGCGCACGCGTCCGCGCACACACAAAGGAGACGTGTTAATGAGTGAATAAAGGAGGCAGCAGATGGTCCGACCTGATGCCACTGAAAAACACACTCACAGACTTTTGCTTGGTTTGGCACTTAATGAGCAATCTGCTGCCACTGTATCTCCTTGACCTACATCCCAATGTGGAACATCTCCAGCTATAAAGAACCTCAAAACACACACACACACACACAGAGCAACGGTACAATTGATCCGATCACATTTATTGGTCATTGGTCAACAGGCTGGAGGCCCATCATGGTACGAAGATGTGTTTATTCAATCTAAAAGTTAAACTTTAGCATCTTGTCATCAGGACAATGAAATAAATGAATGAATTCGGCCTTACCGTATCTTTAGAAAAAAAAAAGATTTCTGAATTATATTTCTGAAATTTGTATTTTTGGCTAACCTTTTGCTATTAGCTTAACGATGTAATCTGTGAGCTATCATGCAAATTTAGGTAATTTTCATATTAACGATGTAATCTGTGAGCTATCATGTATTTATTTTAGGTAATTTTCATGTATTATATTTTGGCTAATTTTAATTATATTTTAATTATATTTCTAGCTAACATTTAGATTATACTTCTGGCCTTATATTTTTTGACGGGGTTCATTTTTTCTCTCCTAATATTGGCTTGACTTTCTAACGACACGTAGCCTATTTTAGATTTACAGGTTGTGCTTGGCTAATGTGTCGCTAACAGCATGCTGGGTGTTACGTGATGAGAGATGCTCAACCTGTGCTAATTGTACTCCCACGTAGAGATTGTACAGATGTAGGGCAGGTCATCTGGACCTGTCTGGTTTCTGTTCCACTTACTTTCTCTCCCTGACTCCCCCCCTCCCTCACCCCTCAACACACACACACACACACATTCAGTCACACAAAGATTAAGATCACCTGGTTACCTGGCAGTCGCCAGAAATATAGACAGGGAAGGTGAGAGCAGGTGGAGCACCAAATGGAGAGTAAAAAAAAAATTCCAGTAAAATAAAACTTTACAACTTTTTGTTTTGTTTTCTACATAAAATTTTTCAGGACATTCTCTAAAATAACGCATCTGTATCCAGGTCATCACCATGTTTTAGCTGGTATGGTGTTAGTTTTTGTTATTGTTTTTTAATACCAAAAAGACTGTATTACACATTTGGTCGATGGTTTCATCAAACCATAACATATTTTAATAGTTGGAAGTCATTTCAGAAGTACACCAACTGTAGCTACCCTATAATAACTCTTTAATGTCTCCATCATCTGCTCCACTGTGGTCTGGCTTCACCGTTTGCCTCTACCATGACTGTCAAAGCAAATGTTAGCTCTGGTGATGTTCAATACATCTATTTCCTTAAAGTCCCAGTCTTATCATTAATGCTTCCTGTCATTGACATCAGGTAAATGAAGCTAGATTACATGTGAAGAAGGAGAGGGGGGGGGAGCAGGGATTTGGGTTCTCTAAATGACCCCGTGTCCTGCTGGGCTAATTTCTCTAATTTGCAGACAGTCTGAACTCGGGCTCAAGGCTGAGAGTCTGGAGACTCAGCGCTCTGGGATTTCTATTTGTGCCATTTCTGGCACATTAGGTATCTGGTCCAGACAGAAAAGTCACTCCTGGATCAGTTGACACTGGGCTTTAGCAGTAAAAGCAGTGGAGGAGAGATGTGGTGGAGGAGAGTGGAGGGAAGATCAGGTTGACTTGACTGAAAGTTCACTCCTCATTTTCGTTTTCACCTGTGACAACAAACCCACACACAGCTGATTACAGTGATACTGCATGAACCAACACACATTACGTGCAGTGAGAAAGCAGTGACTCAGAAGTAATGGAAACTGTTTAATGATTACGTTTGGACAAATGTTTCTGATCCTCAAAGCTGACTCCAAAAATTCTCGTGTTTTACCCACAGCAGCCACTGACTTGACTGGACCGACTTCCCGTCACACATGTTCCCCAAAACACGGGTTGAACCAAGTAGAGGAATAACTAATGTTACAGATGAATATTTCAGGGACATTTTTACCCAATATTGTGCTTGACCTTTAACATACACGTGGCTTTTTCTGGAATTTCTTCTCTATTTTTTTCACAGTAAGCCACAGTATTTTGGCTTTGTTTAACAAAAGTTCTAGCTAATGTTAAGTTGTTTATTTTTAATCTTGAAATATCTATTTACTTTATTAATTCCTCCTATTCAGCTAGCATTAGCTCCTGGGCTGGCTAACTAATTGGTCTATTTGTACATTACTTTACTACATTGCTAATTTGGTATATTTGGTCTCTTCTATGGGCTTCTATTATGTTTTGTATTAAAATATCAAATTCAAAATATTTTAAAATATTTATTTTAAAATTTATATTCTCTATATGCGTGAAGGACGAAACTTCTTAGCCAACCAACATCTAGCTCTCAAATGTGCTGTATGACGTGTGTGTGTGTGTGTGTGTGTGCAGAGGGTGTGCTATAGGTAAACGGTTGCTCAGCTGTAACACAGTAGCACCTCCCCTCCAGCACTGGAGGAAGCGGTGATACGTGGCAGACCAAATTTGTTCAGCTGGATCCGTTTGTTTACAGTGAACTCCTGAGATATTTATGGCTTGCGCAATAGTGGAATCTTGCGTAGCCTGAGCTGTCACATACAATCACATACGGTTGAAGGTCAAGTCAAGAGTGACTGTGTTCTGCCAGTCATTAGCAGAGTCACACAGGGAAATTTTTACATGCCTGGCAGCAGTGTTGTTTAGTTTTAGTTTTGAAATCGTCTGACAGTGAAACCATGGCTCATGTCCAAAAAAACCAACTACCTGTTCAGCAAGTGGATTATTTTACTCGCCTCATTCATCTCTGACATTCAGAGGTAAATCAAGATACAGTAACAAAGACAAAGTTACCTAACAGCACTATTTCTTCCTTGGAAAAGAAGGAGATAAAAGTGTCTTTGTCTAGATTGTGTGCTCTTATCATTACTAATACTTATAAGATTGCGAAACAATCTTTCTCTGTATAGATTATTATTATGTTTATTACACAAACGCCTCGTGTGTAGTGGTTTAGCAAAGTCTAGTGAAGTAGTGATTTCCTCTTTTCACTTTGGCCTAAACGCTATTAGCTTGTAGCCCAGGTTTTAGCAAGATAAATAAGTTTTGCATGGTACATTTATTTAAATATTAAACATAAAATGTTGAAGTGGTTAGAGACCTAACAGATTAAGTTGAATGAAGATCAAATTTGGAGTTTAAGTGTGTAAATGCTAAACTTCACAAACTTTACTTTACATTATATATCCCATTCTAAACTCAAACTCTGAAAACCTTGTGATCACTTGACAACAAACTGTCGTGTGTGCAGGATGCAGTACTTGGCTGAAGATCAGAGTCTTCACATGAATTAGCAGAGGCTTTAGGTGACAGAGACTGAGAACCAGTGGGACCAGTCTTCTATGGAAAACAGAGAAAGTTCCGCCGAACTTTCCACCTAAGTTGCGCTTGCCAACAGTTTGCGGATATGGCCAATTTCTAGAAATGATACAGCTCTGCAGGCTAAAAAAAATGCTGGATTCTAGAAATGATACAGCTCTGCAGGCTTCTGCCTGATGCGGACAAAGTTGCTGCAGGACTAAAAAGGCTAAAATGCAAATGTGGCCCAAATATCTTTCAAAGAATGAAGCTTGATGCACATCAAATCTGAGGTTAGTGCATGAGAATGTGTCAGGGCAGTTCACAAATGTGGGCCAAATAACATAATGTAATGGGTATCATCCTGTTCTGGGCCACAGCATTTTCTTAATTGCATCTCACTCAAATTCGACATCAATCATAATGTGTGTGTGGCCCACTTTTGGAAATACTGTTGCTCTACATGATTAATTACAGCTGTTTTTCATATCTGGCCTAAATATCTTTAACGTTATTGGGCCTGATGTTTATCCAAACTGTGGTTTGTATGCCATAGGTAGAACGCTTCGATTTCTGTAATTCCAACTGATGTGGGCCAATACATGTGTCACGTAATAGACAATAGCCCAGATCTAGGCCACATCAGGTCTCTAAACATTAGTCTGTTGTAATAAATCTACTTTTTGATATTTTCCCAAAACAACCAATTGAGTTAACGTCAAATAGGTTATCATCCAATCACTGTGATAGCCCAAAATTAGCTAAAATGCTAGCTTGAAGCCAGCCTATGAACAGACACGCTAAACTGCTAAACATGAGCTGGGTTAGCTGTGACCCAAAAGTGTGAGAAAATAACTAAAAAATAGCCAAAAACACTGGACAACAAAACAAAGAATCCTCTGGAAAACAACAGTGATGACGAGCAATAATCTGGCATATTTAAGGTTCAGATCAGAGGGGATAATCCTCACAGATCTAAGAGGAAAATCAAGCTGCACCGCTGGACTTGGTAAACATCAAACCCAACCAGAAAGGAGCGTTTCATTGAGCACGTCCTACAGGCCGATGACAACAACTACAGCAGCAAAACAGCAGGGAAATAATCCTCTTTTTCTCTGGGCCTAAAGACCTGCTGCTCTGCTGTTTTTTGTTTACGACAGCGCAGCTGGTAAAAGCACAGGTTTCCCGCAATAGCATTAAAATGAAAGGAGACGTGCTAGTGAGATTGTGATCTCACTTTGATTTGATCTGCAGGTGTGGTGTGTTCTTAGCTCCAGAGAATAAAGCCTTCAGATCTCTGAAGGTCGGACAAAAACAAAAGTGAACGGCACATTTCTTTCCACCGTTCTTTTCTTTTCTTCTTTCTTTTAACTTTTTCCCTGACGTGCAAGATGTTAGTGTCACAAACAACATCTTTATCACGACATAACTCCACGACAATAACTGTTTCATCAGTGGGTTTCTTTTTCAAGCACTGTGTTATTTAATCTTTGGTTGTTTGTTTGTTTTGCTATATTTAAGGCTAACATTTCATTTTCTTTATCATTTTTAAATGCTTTCTTGTTCACACAAACACACAGGCTCATCGTTCTTTCTTTGTGGCCGGCAGCACCAGTAGAGGTGTGAAAATGACTCTGGTGATTTTGATCTGTTTTTTGACGTCCAGCAAAAAAGTGTGAACTCTCACTTAATCTTCCTCTTGTGAAGCTAGACACGCAAGTGGGCTACCGCAGGTCTAATTTCTATCACGCAAACTAGAATGTGGACAAACTTCAGTTTGAAATCTGTATTAATTATTATTATTGACATTTTAAAGTTAGTTCCTAATGATAACTGTTTTTCCTTAAAAGAGAAACCACAAACATGGACCTGACCTCAACTTCACGCAAATTAGGGAATGAAGAAAGA